TAATTGATCCCGTGGAGGATTTGCAGAACCTCGCGTAATGCGATGGTTATATTTGATCCCTTGGAGGATTTGCAGAACCTCGCGTAATGCGATGGTTATATTTGATCCCTTGGAGGATTTGCAGAACCTCGCGTAATGCGATTGTTATATTTGATCCCTTGGAGGATTTGTAGAACCTCGCGTAATGCGATGGTTATATTTGATCCCTTGGAGGATTTGCAGAACCTCGCGTAATGCGATGGTTATAATTGATCCCTTGGAGGATTTGCAGAACCTCGCTTGATGCGATGGTTATATTGATTCCTAGGAGAATCTGATAAGTAATAGATTCATAAGAGAATCTGAGTAATTATAGTGCAATAGTATAAGTGTGAGAGGAGTGATTCCTAGGAGAATCTGACGGACGAATGAGTCGATACCGTATTCGCATCGGCATAGAGTCGTGAAGTCGGTCTCTATGAGTTGCATAATTCATCTTTATATGATGCATTGGTGAAATGAACATGTAGGTGAATGTTTGTGTGAAACGGTAATGATTGGTAAATATGAGAGTAATATAAATATTAATGTATAAGTGGAAGAGTTGTACCTACTAGGGTAGAACGGCAATTTGTCGTTCCTAGTGGAGTAATTGTCGGGGTAGAATAACTTATGTGTTATTCCTGGTAGGGTATAAGTGACGTACCCACAATCGCAAAATGGAATTAGTGATAATGAGTGAGTTACATGGCATGGTTATGAGTGTTATATAAAATATGCATGTGAGTATGAATTGTTGAATGGTGGGTGATGAATTATAAGCTCGCAGTTACTATTTTATTTCATATGTGTAGTTACCAATATATATATATATTTTGATCATGTTTTCTCACCCCTTTGTTGTTGTGGTCTGTGCTTCTTCGGAAGTACAGATAATCTAGGTACTTAGCTAGCTTGGATTGTTGGTGTGCCAGTCGAGTCTAGGATGCTCTGATACGTAACACGGGACTTGGGTGTTTTGTTATTGTCTGTTGAACTTGTATTTTATTTTCCTGTGAACGTATCAAACCTTTTGTAATGTTTTACTATTTGAACATTCCGCTGTATTTGAAGAAAACCTTTTTATAAGAAAATGTTGAATTTTGATGATGTGATATCCCACTTGGGAGGTTGTGACTCTGATGTTTATTTATAATGTTTATTATTTTAATTGTTTTGGGAAGTGGGGTGTTACATAGCACCCTTTGGGTGATATGCGACGCATTCACTCCTAAGTCATAGTCTTTAGTGCAACATGAGTTACAAACAAAAATCAAACACTTCTTCTTCTAAAAAACACAAAAACAAACAATCAAACTTCTTTTTTGTCCCTTGGGACCCTTAACTTTGGAAAACCATTTTCACAAAGAGAGTTTTGTTAACTCTCGGTTCTATCGCAAACGGTAACGCCTAAGTCTCCAATGGTCGAGCTGCATACACCAATTGCTAGAACTGATTGTTAACCTTACTCGGTTTAAAACACTTGAACCAATTCGGTGTTCTTGTTAGCCCGAACTACGTTTGCTCTAATTTCTCATACCAGATGAGGATACGTAGGCACAAGACGCGATGTCTTGGCGAGCAACCTTCCCCACCTTTCACTCGTAGTTAGCCGAACTACGTTGACTCTGACTTCTCATTTCATATGAGATACGTAGGCACAAAGCGTCGTTGCTTTGTCGAGTCACTTCTTTTTCTTTTGTCCTTTAGCCAGTAGTTAGATAGTTTCAATCACCCTTTTAGATAGACATTAAGCGTGGATCCCTTCGAGTACGATGGACGTGAGGGGTGCTAACACCTTCCCCTTGCGTAACCGACTCCCGAACCCAAGATTTGGTTGCGATGACCGATCTTATCCCTCTTTTCATTAGGTTTTCTCTGAGCGTTTCCTTTCCCTCTCTTGTGATAAATAACGCACGGTGGCGACTCTTTTGTCATTGCCGGCCTCGATTTTCGCAGTAGCGACACTATGAAGTATGCTACAATTTGGTTAGATCCTTCTTATCTCTAGCTTCTATTTTGCTTTATAGGATAGTCACCTCATCTCTTCCCCTTCTTAAATTTTCAAAATCTTCTCTCTCTTTCAAAACCTTCTTGCTTTCAAACTTCAAAAACGTTTTCACAATAAAACCTTGACTTTTGTCAAGTGATTTCCAAAATTTGTTTTCTTAATAAATATCAATCAATGCTAATAATATTTTGACAAATTTCAAAAGGATATAAAAAATACCTCATCTCATTCAAACTTTTTGTGCCTTTGTACACGTTTCATTTTTAAAACTTTTCATAAAGTTTAGACATGAGTCGTTTTCATAGTTGAGATATAATTCTCCTATTCCACATAGTATTTAAGATGTTGACATTTTCCACTTAGATGTTGAGTGATAGCCTTGTTGATTTTAATCTAAGCAAAATCCTCCATCTTTAGGTGATGCAAATGTTGTCTTATACTTGTGGGCGACTGTCTTACCTCGAAAAAAGCACGATCCTTCGCGAATGGCCGCAGAAAACAGAGTCGCCACCGAAATTTATTCATCCCAAAGAGGGAAAGGAAAATATTCATAAAACCTTTAGGGAAAAAGCATGGTCATCGCAACCAAGTTCTAGGTTCGGGAGTCGATTACATGAGGAAAATGTATTAGCACCCCTCACGTTTGTTGTATTCAACGAGAACCTCTTGATTCGATTCGTGAGAAATGTTAGGTAAGGTTGTTTGTTTTCTTCTAAAGGAATAAAGTGAAAATGTAAGATAAACGGATTTAGATTGCTAAGGGAAAAGGGGTTAGTTTTAGATTAGGGTACTCGCCAAGGATTGAGGCCCTTTTGCCTACGTATTCTCATTGACAAATGAGAAATCAGAGCGTCTGTAGTTCAGACTACGAATATTGGTTTGATTTTAACAATTGTATAGAGGTGACTAAATATTGTTCATTTTAGAAAAGAGTTTTAATTACACGGCGGCGAGAAGTTATATTAATGTGTTGATGTATTTTGATTTGATGACGATTACTTGAAGTTTAAGAAAAGCTCTTCGAGTCCAAGTAATTGGGAGAGTGGGTCAAAGACTTGACTCTCTCTCTTTTCATCTCGAAAAGAGGCTGTGTTTGGAAAGTGTTTTGAACGATGAAAGATAGCTAAAGTATTTTAAATCGGATGAAGATTACTTGAAGCTTAAGAAAGGCTCTTCGGGCCCAAGTAATCGGGAGAATGAGTCAAAGGCTTGACTCTCTCTCTTTTCCATCTTAGTATTGAGAAAATAGGTTTGATATAGCTAGAGTATTTTAAGTGAATGACGATTACTTGAATCTTAATAAAGGATCCTCGGGCCCAAGAAATCGGAAAAGCGAATCAAAGACTTGACTCTCTCTCTTTTTCATCTAAGTGATTAAGAAAATAGATTTGATTTTGAATCGGGTTATAAATATTTTAAAGAAGACAATTGTTTAAACTTAAGAAAGGCTCCTCGGGCCCAAACAATTGAGGAGAGAAATCGAAGATTTCATTCCAACTCCTTTTTCATATTTTATTGAAATATAGTTTTAAGTATAATTAAGTTAATTGATTTGAATTTGAGAAAATGCTCGATGTTGATCGAGTTTTAAATTTGCATACGGAAAAGTTAATGGTTTGGACTAGACGGTAAGGAAGTCCTAATGATATAAAGCAAGGTCGATGACAAGGCAAAAGCGCTTGACTTACAAGAGTGGGAAGGGTTTGATATACAGATCAAGAGCTTTAGGGTTTGGAGTTCATTATCATACAAGATCAAAACAAGCGTGGAGAAGTAAAGGAGATCAAATGGGTTGAATTTTAATCGTGTGCAATAGCAAAGTGGGCTAGTCTTCTAAGCGACCGACTAGAAATAATAGATTGAATAGGTCTCACTGTAAGGAAGCCTAGGAGTAAGCTATGAATGTTGTGTATAGTGATCAAAGGTTGATGGCGATGCTTAAAAAGCAATCGACTTACAAGGTGGAAAAAAATGACTCGACGTTGAATCGAGAATTAATTTTTAAAAAATGGTTTGAATATTCAAATGAGATATTAATCAAATATTATCATGGTATAAGTATATTATATGAGAAAATTGCATGACCAAAATAAATAATCGAGAATTACACAATTAAACCAAACCAAACAACACACAAAATAATTAACTAAATTAAATATGAATATTTAATAAAATTAGTACTTTAATTAATTAATATTAAACAAATATATTTAAGATAATTAATTATAAACACATTTTTAACATTTATTTTATTAAATGATAAAGAAAAAAAAAACAAAGACAAATAAAATGGGCTGGATCAACAAGCAAAACAAGGGTCTACATAGCAAAAACTAAGCCCATGTAATAAAAAAAGGCCCACTACGTGGGGGTCTACCACAGACCCTCAGTCAACAGAGTTGACTGTAGAGAATAATCCTGAAGCTTGATCAATCTAAGTCAAAAATCTTGACTCCATCCAAAGGCTTAAAAAAGAAGGCACATAGTAAGAAAACAAAGGAATGCCTTATGTGATGTGAACAAAGGGTGATAATATAGCCGTTCCTAAATCTGACGGTGACAAGTCTCACCGCCTTTCCAAAAAGCCACACACGCTGGCGGATGATGTTGTTGTAGTGAGAAAAGAGTGGCTACATCTAAAATAAAATAATAATAAAAAAGAAAGAACACAACCTGGAAGCACATTCAAATACCTACTTCTCAAACCTTCATGTGTTTCACTCTCTCTCTCTCTGAACAAGCCATGCTAAAAACTCACATAAGGGTTGCCGGAGAAGATGACTCACGGCGGAGACCGTCGTCTTCCCCGCGATAATTTCTCCTCTCCCTATGAACCTAACATAGACCCCAATAAAAAAAGGTCCTAAACACGAATCTGTTGTTTATTTCATAAAAAAAACTCAACAAAAGGGCAAATCGAACCACCCATGTTCTAAACCCTAAACAAAAAATCTCAATGTACCAAGCATAGATGAGCGATAACGGAGAAAAAAGAGAGGATACATACGAAGGAAAATCCTACGCGAGGATGATTAGAAGTAGAAGAAGAAATCTACCTTTGAAACTCTCACGATTCAGGTACAGCTCTTCCACTTCGTTCCTCTTTCCTCTCCTTCCCGATCTGATATTATGTTATTTGTTATTGTCAAAACTCAGATTAGGGTTCTAAGTAGCCGTTCTAGGGTTTCTTTTGTGTGTAGAAATAAACTTGGGGTCCTTTTCCTTCTGATATTCATCTCTATTTATACTCACAAAATTCAGGTTAGCTGATATGCTTTGTAGAATTTCAGAAATCCCCTGCACTGCTATGCTTTAGGTTTGGTCTGCTACAACTTTTTTTTATCCATTTTCGTGTCAAGGTTATAGTACTGTGAATTTCTTGTTGTTGCTTTTGTTTTGCCATTTTTGCTAATCTGAAAAAAAGTGGTCCCCATCCCTTTGTACTAGTAGCTTATGCTATTTCTACTGCTTGCAAAAAGAATCATTCCAGTGACATATGAATCGCTCTTGAATGCATTTGATGATGTGTGTAACTGGAAATGAACAAGCTAAGATGAATTGGTATACATGAGTTTGTTTGAAATTTGAACTAGTACGATGATTTGTATATGATGATTTTGGAATCTGAAAACTTGTATAACCTTTGGCTTGAATTGAAATTGTATGACATGGGAATGAACTTGAATTTAATTTGACTGGAATTAGATTTTAAGTTTTGAATTGGATTGAAAATTGTTATTAGAGATGAATCGTGTAGGCTTCTTGAAATGAATTAGTTTGGTTCTTTGAATTGTTTTAGGAACGTCTTGAATCCTTTGTATCATGGTATAATTGTTTTGGTGTGTTCTTGACGTGAATTGAATGATTAATTGGATTAAGTTGGCTTGAAATAGGATGACATTGAAATTTGAAATGCTTGAATTTTAATTGTGAAGTTTGAAATGTTTGAATTCGAAACTTGAACCTTGATATAAACTTGAATTGGAAACTTGAAATGATTGAATGAAATTGAAATGCTCGGTAATGGTATACAGAATTTGGTTGGAACTAAAATGGATTGAAATTGTACATGTACTTGAAAATAGAACTGGACCAAATTAAAAACATGAATGTTATTGTGTCTTTATAGGACATTCTGTGGAATATTGTTTCTGTTGCTTCGAACATTGTGGTTTCGACCCTTTTCTTTTTTCTGAAATCTTAACACTACACTGTGTTACAAAGCTGGTAATTTTTTGTGCAGGATTGGCTTGATTTAGAGTGAAGTTTGTGGGCTGATGTAATCCTGTTTTTTGTTGTTGCAGGAACTGTAATACAAAAAAACTTTTCATGGCAGCTTCAACAAATAGCAGCAGCTTCTTAATAACCATTCATCATTTCCATAAACCGAAGCAGAATTATTAACGTCTTTATTGTGAATTCTGATTGAGATGCTTTCGAGAACACGACTCATTTTGTCTTTGATCTGGGGACGACTCATTATATTGCAATTTTTGTTGCCTTACAACATTCCGTCGTTGCAGCGCGTGCGTAGAATGACGCCTTAAATCCAAACGGCTATTATTGTGACCCTGGCACATTACTTCTTGTCTTCTGCTGATATATATATTTTCTAGATTATTTTGTTTCATTTTTTTTTAACTGTTGTGATTGCCGCTTGCAGGTCCAAAAGGTCATCCTGTTGTGGCTCAATGTTGAAGCCTTTATTCATTGCAGCATGGAACCTGAATGCGTCATCAGTATTATTCTATTTCCCAAGCCTCTAAATATGTGGAGTAAAAAAAACAAATGGTCGGAAATTTAATCTATGGGGCTTGTAGAATTGGTTTTAACAGCAGACGGATTTTTGTGGAATGGTAGGTGAAATTACATGACAAAAGCTTTTGAATTGCAAGCAAGACGGTAATGGCTCACTTGGAGTTTGGAGTTTGACCCGTACACATGAAACTATAACTAGTAACTTTAAGGCTTGTGCTGATATGAAGTTAATGTATATTTCCCTTATGACATCTGCATGGAAATTTTAAGTGTAATGTGCTGATATAAACTACGTGGCTTTTTGCTTCATTCATTCTAAGCTTATTTCATCACAATAACTTTGCAAAATAATCAAACATTTTCTTTGTCTTTTCTTCTTCAACTGTGTTTAGATAGTGACCCAGTGAACTTGTGATGCTTGATCCATGAATGAAAGTAGTCAGATATTCAACTTTTAAATCCAAACAAAGACCAAATTGAAACAATATCTAAAGTTTCCTAGAAACATCTTGAATTTCAAGTTAAGATGTATAACACGTGGTTTAACTTCCATGTTAGACTTCTCACATCACTTTGAAAAGGAAATACACCTTACTTGCATATTGAAATACCAACCATGCCTTATTTTTGTGAAGCTTGTATGAGTAACTTATGCCTCACTTGTTCATCACTCAAAATTCACCATGTTAGACTAAGCTTCAAGGCAAGACAAATTTTGAATTGAATGTCCTTGTTTGATGACAATGAGAATAGTCTAATTTTATGTTGGACCCAACCACCAATGTAACACACACTTGAGACCTTTTGCCCGACTTTTAGACTCATATTAGAACTAGGTTACAAGTAAGAAACAATGTTTTATATCAAACAAAAAAACCATGAGCAGAGATGATTTGTGGTGTCTTCTTTTTCTGGGCCAAATGGAACCTTCCTTGGAGTTTCGTCATCCCAAATGGGCAAAGTGTTCAAATACGAGCCAAGACATTCGTGCCTTAAAACTATAGGTCCTCCTTTAATCATAAATAAACCAATTGAAGCATCATGTCAGTTAAGTCATGAGGATTTATGACGGACCAAAACCCTAACCTGAACACTAACGGTTTCCAAATAAAAATTGTTTACAAAATGGTCCATGATGAAGATAATATGTATGTGATGTATGCCCTTCTTGCTTAAGTTTGACCAAGATCAGATCGCTCTTTCTTCTGAATTGGGTGGTGGATGGAAACCCATCTAAACCAAATCCAAACACTTGTCCTGAAGCAAACACCCTCTATCGCAACTCTTTTGCACCGATCTATGCTCGATATGCATCAAGATATGATGGTATCGATGAAGGCATGATAAACAAGGCTAGGTTGAAAAATAAGGGTGTGACAATTGTCCATATTTAAATAGCCTCGTCAGATGACATGAGGGATTGAGATCCTCATGTAAATTTGATGAGAGTTATTTAAATACAAGAATACTCGAATCTTGCTCCCAAATGCAGATGATATGTGATGAAGCATTATGCCAATGCTATGCTGCAACGAAAATGATAGGGTGATATATGCAAAAAATTCAGACGAAGAAAAGAAAACACATGAGGATAAAGTCAAAACAGTGAGTAGAAAAACTCATTGAGGATGACCAAACACCAGGGAAAAGAAACAACTAGGGAAATCTAAAGTGATTGATCAACAAGTTTAGGCATGACCGGCTAACACTCTAGGATAAAGGTAAAGTAGGATCCTTATACCAATAAGATCATGCAAATAAAATGCTAGTTTCTAAACAAAAGTAAACATCCAAGCCTCTAGAAATTCCCTAAACGAAGAGATCAAACAGGATCTTCAGGAAACATAAGAAAAGATATAGGGTATTTAAACTCTTCTATATGCCAAAATAATTGGACTCCACGGGGAAACACCCTTTGGATAAGCTTCTCAAAAGAGACTGCCACTTATCGCTGTAAAAAGACTTACGCACCAACAAGAATGGATAAGCTTCTCGAAAGAGACTGCTACTTATCGTTGGAAAAGGATAAGCTTCTCAAAGAGACTGCCACTTATCATAATAGCGAAACAAGCTTCTCAAAGAGACTTCCACTTGTTCTAAGAAAAGGGATAAGCTTCTCAAAGAATATTGTCACTTATCTGACAAAGGATAAGCTTATCAAAGGAGATTGCCACTTTTATCATACAAAGGATAAGCTTCTCGAAAGAGATTTCCACTTATCGTTGAAAGAGGATAAGCTTCTCGAAGGAGATTGCCACTTATCGTTGAAAGAGGATAAGTTTCTCAAAGAGACTGCCACTTATCGACAAAAATGGATAAGCTTCTCAAAAGAGATTGCCACTTATCTCACAAAGATGGGATTTGTAAAAGATTCTTCCTGCATGATATAGTGCAAAATAAATCCACATTTAAACTAGGTTCGACGACCTAATTAAAGCAAGACTTATCAGGAACCAAGTTCAATATAGGAACAAGCTAGAAAGAAACAATAAAGAAAGACTTCAACCATTGAGGAATGAACTCAAATGAGGTTTATCTTATCCAAACATGGAGAAGATAACAGAAGCAACTATCATCCACGAGGATCAAACTCTATGGGGAATTTAGAAAGGATCTGCACTTTATGCTTAAAGTTGACGACTCTCCTTGGAGAGAGATGACAAACCGACCACTTGGGGAATAAACTCTAAAGTGAACAAAACAAGTAACACCAAAATAATAGAAAAATGCTTGGATGCCCTTGTCGCAACTGTGAAAACACCCGGTAGAAAAACAGAAGAGTTGCCACCGAACATTATTTATCCCAAAGAGAGGGAAAGGAAACGATTGAAGAAACCCTGAAGAACGGAAAAAGACAAGGTCATCGCAACCAAATCTTGGGTTCGGGAGTCGGTTACGCAAGGGGGAGGTATTTGCACCCCTCACGTCCTTTGTACTCAATGGGATCCATGCTTGTTGTCTAATCAAAAGGTGTGTTTATCTATAAGCTACTGCTACATGGGAACGAGAAAAAAAGAAAAAGAAAGAGATTCAATAGGATGTCACCGTCCTATGCATACGTATTCCCTCGTGTAATGGGAAAGTCAGAGTCAATGTAGTTCGGAAAACTACAGATGATGGGGGGGAAGGTTTCTCGCCAAGACACTGTTGTTAGACGATGGCGCAAATCTAGAAGGGGGTTGAATAGATCGCTTGCTTAAAAAGAGTCGGCGCTACCCAAAAAAATGGTTTTTAAAATTTGTTTTAATAGCGAAAGCTGCCGAGGAACTATACCCGTCTAAAACGAACAGTTACTATAAAACCGGATATGTGTTAAGCCTATGGAATACGATAACGAGATATGAGAATTACTACATTAAAAACACTATCAATTTGATTCAGCTCACTATACGGTGTGACTAGTTCCAATGCCTTAAAAATATTAACACAATGAAAAGACAGCACACAAGGCTTTTAGTTCACACAATTTATCAAACACTTGGAGTACGGAGCACTACAAGTGAGTTCTGTTTTGAAAGTTAAGTGCTCAAGTTCCCTCTTACATTCTATGATTGTACTAGGCTCAAAATTAGTTTAGTACAACTCAAACCAGACCTAGATTGATAAAATCGTTTGCACTAAAAATACAAATATTAAGAAATATAATTGAAACGAAAAAGCCACACGATTTGTTGAGGCAGTTCCCCTGTCGTCCTCGCTCGGGATACGTTTGCCCTCAATTCTAATAATAGAGTTGATATCTGTTAATATATAGATATAACTTGTTGTAGAAAGTTTATACAAGAAGCAAATAACTATCAAACAAACGAACATTATTATTGTTGTAGATCCTATTTCTTTTTCCCCCTTGATTCAAGTTGAATCAAGTGGTCCGACAGCTGTGAGTAAATCTCCGATTGCGACACTATCTTTGAACAACCTTCGGTCTTCAAAATCTGTCCCGGCTGATTTCAATCACCCGCGTGTTGAACCCGAAACTCCCAATCACAATCCTTCATTTACCATTACTAAATCGATGGAACCTCCAGCTCCTCGATTACCTTCACTCGACTGAATATGTGATGAGACGAATCGTGCAAAAAACCCCCAAATTCTGAGAATCTTGAAGGACAAAATCCTAGCGGTTTTATTCATGAAAAACCTGTCGATTCCTCAACCCAAACCAGATAAAACAATCTTCGGCTTTGGACGTTATCACCTCTTAACAATGCACAATGCACAACAAAGATGATTATGTGTAATTGTTGTGGAATGCAATGAAGAGAATGAAGATGATGAGAACCAAATCGACACCTATTTCACTTTTCTTGTTTTTCTCTGTGTTGTGAAATGAAAATAGCAACTGAACTTATATACCAAATATAACTGACATAAAAAACAAAACCACTTCACAAAGACAGTTGACATAACAAAAATTTGACATGAAACAGCGAGCGATCGACCTATGCAGAAGAAGGAGTAGACCTAAGCTGACCCGATTGTAAAATTGTGTAGAAAACAGAACCATGCATCGACCAGAGCAAGGTATGCGTCGACGCATAGCATGCATTTTTAGACAAATGAAAATACTTACAGTATGAGTCGACCGGTGGGTCGACGCGATCCCACCTAAAGCAAATACATAAAATTGACTTGTAGTGTGAGTCGACCGGAACAGGTCTTTGGTCGACTCAAAGCCCTGAAACTATCAAAAATTCATATTTTCAACACTTTTGATGAAACCTATGATATGACAAACGACACCAACAAAGTCAAACTCATATGACACACATTTTTGATAATATATATGCAACAACCGTGATATTTTATACGAGCATTTGAATTGTGAGAAACAAGACATGCAAATGCAACATGGTGACAACGTCCAACATATATTCTTCTATGGAGCTAAATTTTGACATCATTAAAATGAGCACATCCATATATGAGGCTTTGCCCTCACATACTCCCCCTTTTTTATGATGACAAAACACATAGAACCTGACTGTATGATATGTGACATTATCCTCCCCCTTGCTTGATGCCTTCATCCCTACACACTCTTTT